AAAAATATAAGGACACGAAACGAATACACAATAACCAAATTTAGAATCCCAAAGAAACGGAACTTGACAAAAATAAGCACGAAAAATCTGCTCCGCACAAAATATTGAACGATGCAAACTGACCTGTCAAATAGAGCGAGAATAGCTGTCCGGCGAGTGCTATTCGTCCTTAAAACGCTACTAGTTCAAAGGATTTCCACAGCTACTCGTGCTGATGTTGTCTAACAGTTTGTCTTTAAACCCAAGCACTCTACGCTAGATGCTGTTTCGAACCTTGTGCATACAGTAGCCTCTGCGTTGGATAAAAGTGCAGGTCGGTACGGCTTATCCTTTTTGGCTATTCGAATGCGTTTGGGAGTCTTGACCGATCAGTACTGCTTAACCTACCGTATATTATCGTGTATAAGACGACAGTATAACTTTACCCGTCTCAACGAGACTGGACCTTAACGTGGTGCGACGGTTTGCGTACCTCATTGACCCATTGAGCTATACTGGGTGATGCCTCCGAGCATCTTGAGAGCTACTCCTACCAGGTTGGTCAATGGTGAGAGGTCAGACAAACTCAGTCTCCTGGTCCTCCAGGTTGGGGGTTTGAAATGGGATGGCATCCATTTCTGTAAAACTAAATTACTGCCACCCCGCTGCCTTGCATTTGAAACAAGCAAAGGCTATATCCACAATTACAATTAAAAAATCCTCCTACTCATTAGTAGTACAAGCATATTGTGTCTACATATCGGCACTTCAAATCCCCGCGTGTGATACCGTCCGTCACTAGTGGTGCTAAGACAAGTTAGGGGCATAGATGTGCAGTGCATTTCTGGGTGGATATTGCACGTGCTTTTTTCAAATTATGCATAACCTCTGTATCAGCCGACCCCCCCCCCCCCACTACAGACGTGAAAAATTGTCCAAAATTCCTCGACTTATATATGATAATATACGGTATTTTATTTTAACAAAGTCCACCCTGATACTTGTGATTTGTACCGTAACTATTTCACTGATCGTACGCAATTTGCCTAGTTAAACGGCAAAAGCTCCTCCATGCTCAGCGCTGATTTTGGTGTTTTGCAGGGTGCGATTTTTTCACCCTTTTTATTCTCTTTATATGTCGAAAGTTTCCCCATACCACTAACATTCATTGGATTTCTGCATGCCGACGATGTTGTCTTGAGATGCAGAGCTCCCTCCACTGAGATGTCTACGCTTCAATGTAGTTGAGACGCACTTGTGAGTTAGTCATCAACCAGGTCCCTGAATCTTAATGTTTTGAAACGTACTGTTCTGACATTTTCCTTTCTCCGCCCTGACAAATTGCGAGTACTTTTAGGTGCCTCTCCTCCGTTAAATTTGGAGGACAAAAACATGCCTATTTCATCCAAGCCTCACACGATAAATGCACGCTTTGGAAACATTCCTCAAGGTCAGAAGGTTATCTTTTATGCTTTCCGAATTAAGAAGTTCGTACCGCGAAGTTTAATTTTGAAATCGTAACTGCATGTTTACTGCCCCACTGGTTGTACTGTTCCCCGGTAATCTTCCCTGGACTAATGCAGAAACATTAGGTTTTGACTGTGCGATCGATTAGACGTATTTCCAGATGTGGTGACTTGCTGAGAGATTCCATAGTTGATTTCATTGCTCGTAAGCATTTTGACGCTTGCATGAATTTTTCTTCTTACGTCCTAAGTGACCGCGCTCATCCGCTACATGATGTTTTCTCACAAACCTTATCTGTTTCACACACGCACAAAATTTCGGGTTTCATTCTCTCGCACTTCTTCGTATCGTAATACAATCTTGCCTTATTTGTCACGCTTTCTTGTCAATCCTATGAAAGTCACAAATGGTTTGCGCACGCGGTTGCTTGAATGACATTCACACTGACTATTTAACTATTCAATCTCGAGTTATGTATTTTTAATTGGTCCCATTCATTTAGTGTATGCGCAGCGATGGTGTAAACGCTGATAATGCACCCATTTAAAGGTATCTAAAGCCGTTTCTGCCTTGACTTGAACCTTCAATCGTTTCGTACACTATTGCATGTTTCCTGTTTATCAGTAAGGCAAACACAGAGATTACTAATAAATGTACCGAACCTATATGCTAGCAGGTGGTCAATCTGGAACAATTAGAAAAGTTGGAGTTTTCAGACATGGCATCATCCAGTATTCCATTGAAAAATGGATTATTATGCCTGCCTACCAAAAGTAATCTATACATCATTCTTACCAAACTGTGAGGAAAAAATGAATGAAGAATACTACTTTCCTCACCTGCGTATACAGAACGGACTTCGGGTTGGGTTTTTTCTTCTTCGGGAATGCGATGTATATATGGTTGGCGGCAACCGGTTTCGGATTTGGTTGTCACTGTGGCCAGCCACAGGACGCCTGCGCCTACAGAGGGACCATGGGTGGCTTGCGCTGCACCACCCACAGCTCCAACCACACCCCATATCCAGTGTAAACCCGAAGGAATAAGACCGGGAGGCATGCGGATGGGAGCCACGTTTCATCAACGGAGCTGGCTCACACTCCTTCAAAGGTAAACACAAGCACGCTGTAGTTGGGAATCAAGCGCACACAAGGCGGTGGCTGGACCGTAATCCGCTCCACACTGAGTGCATGGAACCACTTTGATCCTAACACGTCCACAAGGACCGTGCATCCCGCCCCATCCAGCAACGACCAGCTTTCTGCTGGAGCCAGTATGGACGAGGTAGTGGGTAATAGACAGGTAGGCACCTTGTCAACATGCACATCAAGCGCAACCACACTGGGGATATCAAGCAGCAGCCAATCACTTGAGAGAAAGATAACAAAGAAAATAAATCGAGCATTGCATAAGTGAACGGTGACATAAATCTGAAATTAATGAGCATATGGAATAAGTTGTTTACAAAAGGATCCGAGAAAAGTTCACGAGGTCACAAACACGAAAATGTTATCGAAATTAACTACAATTGGCTTAAGCGACGTGTGCAAGTTTATAGAAGAGAGTACAGGTAGACATTTATATGAGAAAGAAGAGCATTAGGACATAATTGAAAACCCACCACCTAAAATAAAGAGACTTAGTATGCAAGCACGTGGTGAGTAAATCGAATGCAGCGTGTCTACAAATGCTGCTCCGGTTTTGCCTAGGTTCTCTGCAATATCCGTCGTCGCTTCGGTAGTGGTCCCGAGTGGCCCCGCTCATGGCTCACTAGACCTGCCTGACTCAGGCACTCGCGACCGCATGTGCTACAGCACCATGCGCTCGATGTCGATGGAGTACAATTCATTGGTGCTTGCCGCTTCCGCACTTGCCGCTTCTTCTTTGCATGTATGAGGTCTTTCTCACGCACTTCGGCAACTGTCTTCGTGATTAGATCGCACCATGGACGCCTATATATATATATATATATATATATATATATATATATATATATATATATATATATATATATATATATATATATATATATATATATATATATAGCAACGATGATGCAACTGACGCCGCTTTCAAAACATATCGCTATTCAGCTTGCATAGGCGTGTTTCAATGCAAACACGCACTCGTTACTTTACAGTCCCGTTCAGCGGATGCGCTTTGCAACGTTAGCACCCTGCACTTTCCTGCCATTATCAGTTCATTATCAGTTCATTAGTAAATAGATATGGGTGATATATGAGCACCAATTTGCTCCAGCTTAGTTTGCAATTGGGTGAGGATCTGGTACCACAGTATAAGGGTAAACATCAGAACCTTTTCCCATGGTTTCCGAAAGCATTTGCAAGCTTCAGACTACCTGAGGTAGAGTACACACTGAACAGCAATGCTGGTATGATGCGGTTTTCGTTGGCGGTCAATCGTTCGCTGAGCTTTCGAATGTTGCAAACGTTTCCTCACCAATTACGGTGACAACATCAGTCCGTTTTTAAGCGTGTCGCAGCAAGACGTAGGGGAGCATCCATGAGAAGACACTTACAAAAACACTATTCAACAACGCACTGGTGATGTCACTTCGAGTGGGGACGAAACGTTTGCAAGAAAATTTCCAATCTCAGCGAACAGTGCCACCGCCACCAAAAAACCTAAGCCACCAATTTTCGCTTCTATTTCGATATTAGTTTTGGCGTTTGATTTTTTACCCGGTTTCCTGTATTTGCACACGAATGAGATCAAAGTAGGGTTACAGAGCTCAAACATAGGTGCAAAAATGACATTTGCCCCCAAGTCCTCAGTCCACCCTGAACACCGGATGGCCCTGGCCCAAAATGGCGGTCCATTAAATCACCTTTGATTTTTCCTGAACTAACCACACCGCTTTACTGATAAAACAGCTCTTTCTTGTAATTGAGATTCCATCGCAATAGCTCATTGGCATAAGTGGATAACTTGGGGTGCAAGCAGCTAGTAGTCATAGGTCCAACTCCTGATGGATTCGAGCATGCGCACTAAGGATGATGCCCAACAGGTGCTGTTTCAGACATGTTGAGGACTATCTGATTTGGAAGCTACTGCGATGAAATCACAAGTAACTGCATCCTAAAGTCATTTACTGATGAGCTCTTCCTTGTGACTAGTTTTAATTTCAGGCAGCAGCAGTACGCCGGTACGCAGTACGGACGCTTTGCTGCCGCACAACCACCACCAGTCGCACGTGAGCTGAGGATACTTCAAGAGTCTCCCTGCGCAGGCTCGAACCCGCGCCCTCGGATTACAAGTCAGGCTTGTGATCCTTAGGACTACAGGCAGTTTTAACTCCAACGTGTTGGTTTAACTCAACCCACATTTGGTATAGCGTCCTGCTGTGTATGATATGCCTAAAATCCAACTTCATCTGTTTCTCATTCACAGGGCTAGGAGTGACCGTAAATGCTTCTTTTGTTGGTACACCCGTGAAATCTGAGATTAACTCTATACTGGCTATGACAGATCGATTTGAGCAAGCAGCGATCCGCACCTAACATTAAAAATACCAACCAATGGCCTGAACAAACCTGAATGGGTACTACAGCTGGCTGTTCGACGTGGGCTTGGTGATGCCGAATATTTACCGAGTTTTGAAAGACTTGTATCCTGAAAGGTTGAATATTCAAACGGTATCCCGCGATATCTTCGACGAAGGACGGCGCATGCCTTGAGCGGGTGACATTGAGTAAGCAAACATGTTCGAGTAGCCTCCTGACAATCCACACATGGACGGTCGATTCCATGACTGTACCGTGTTGTCACTGGCAACATGCATTCCGTAAAGGCGTTTCGGTTTACTTTTTCCGTTAGAGGTAGCTGGGTCGACATGCATCGACGGTTTGGTTGGCACAGTTTGTGTGGCAGGCGCCTAAAAGAAATAAATTCAGGAACCAATGAGGTAATTGTATGCTTCTTTCAGTAGCTCATGGTTGGATTTGACATTTGCAAAGTTTGCATTTGAACCCAACTGATACGTTCAAGTCACAACTTCAAAGAAAACTTAATGTATAAACAGTACACAAATAGTTTTCTCTGTAGTCAGTTAAAACTCAGATTCACAACATGTTCTGCTTGGTTATTCGCTGATCCCTTAACCTTGTGCCCCTGAATGAATGTATCTATCCTTCACCTCGTACTTTAGGTCAAAGCACAGAAGGATACTGCAACCGATACCGTAACCATAGCTTAAGAATTAGGTTACTGAGAATTCTGCACAACTGTATTGAGATGGAATCAGTAGGAGGTGAGTTTTATTCCATTGTTAAGCTTGCCTCGTTTATCACGTTGTGTTTCAAGTGGATAATGTCTTAGAAGTACATTTAAAAAATCCACTTACTGCGCTACCAAATAATGCAAGTAGTGTACGTTTGGGGGGGGGAGATAACCAAGTACCGAAGAGTATGATGAATTTAAGGTTACGAGTCATATGATTGGTGAGTTGCTACAGTTCGCTTTTGTGAGTTCGGGTACCCACCAACTAAGGTAGTTTGGTTAGCTAGTTAGCAGGCAATTATGTAAAAACAAACACCTTTTACTTTGCGACATACGAAAGTTCAGAAGCAGCGTATCGCAATGAGGATACCATTTTTGCATGTTTCTTCGTGTCGCAGCATTCAATCTGGACCGGGAAACCGAAAAGAAGTATGACTTAAGTAGTGGGATTTATTGTTTTATCAGTCTCTCACATTATACTAACAATATGACAGTGAAGTTCGTCTTGCTGATCCTATGAGACGGTTGCGCCTACCGCTGCCTGGATAATACGCAGTGAGAAGGGAATAATGAGCAAAGTACATGCTGAGAAATAGTTACAAACGTCGCACTACGATTCGGTGAGCAATGTCCTTAACTGCACTCGGTGATTCGCCGGTCCTTTTGCGACGATACTCAAGACACAAGTGTGTTTCCCTCAAACACACAATAAATACATACTTGGGTTTGATTGATTTCTGTGTTATTAGGTTGAGAATTTTATTCTCCATCGGACTTGTTGCAGCTTGATGTCCCAAACATTGCTGAAGGCAAGCTACACTAAAACACTTACTACCGCGTAAGAGCTTTCTGTGCATCTCTTCAACTTTGAAAGAGATGAAAATAATGGGCTCAGTAAGGTTCCCAACCGATGTCGGAGTGTAGTGGTTCCAAAGGAAGTTGACTGCTCAACTCCAAATGCACTGGAGAACATAAATACAAAAATCCACCAGTGATACCAGTTATCAGTGCGTTCCCCGAAGGCAACACAGGCTCCTCGCACGGTCAGCTCTGCCCGTCCTTGGATATACATTGTTGTGTTCAGTGCATGTATGAGGCACTGCTGCTCCAGATCAATGATCCCCGAACTAGAAATAACAGGTATCGTTCACCGAAAATGCTTGGCGGAACCTACAGTCCGAACGGAACAGGTGATACGGAGTCATTGGGGTGAATCCTACGTTTCGCAATATTGAAAAAGTCAGGATGTATAGAACGGGCCGAATGCGCCTCGCGTGTCGTGATGAATTCACTAGAGGAATCCGAAATGTAAGGGTTTATGTGTTTGAGTTACACTGTCTACGTCCAGGGGATTTGGGCGTTCCTGCAGTATTTATGCTCGTGTACAATAAATTTCGGTTGTATTGCAGCGAGGCTTCAGCACATGACAATGGTGTATTGCTGGAGCCTTACACGTGCTACCCCATGGCACTATCAGGGCCTCCTATGCTTAAGTAGCTTGAGAGCCAATCATTGTGTTTTACAACAAAACACATGATCAACCGTCACGGGGGTACAATCAATGCAGTCCTTCGACTGCATGCGCTGCGAATTTCGTCAATCGATTCTTAAAATCGTGGAAGATGGCCGATTTCTACTCAGTGATGGGCAATAGGGTAGCTAGAAAAACGGCGCATCGATTCCAAAAAGACTGGTACAACGTCTGGCACAAGCACCATCTCCCCGCGCTCGATACTGCACAGCGTAGGGCAACGAAGAGCGTCAGAGGTTTGACCAGCCTCCCCTACCCACTCAGACTGAAGACCCTCAAATATACAGTGGACGTTATCGGCGTCTAAGGGGCGATCTCATAAGGGTGTACCAGATCCTGAGAAACCCCAACCACCCATGCCATTCCCTTCTAGTACTCAGTCAAAACACCTTAGCTAAGAGGTCATCAGTTTAAGTTAGTCACGCAGTACAGCCGCCTGGAATGTCGGCGAAACTATTTCTCCCTTCGAGTGGCACAGCCTTGGAACGCCCGGAACATGTAATTAATGCACCCACCCTATCCCTTTTCAAAAAACGCCTAGACGATACTCTGTCACATTTACACTACGTGCTATAGCTCATGATCACCAGATGCTGGCACTAATGCACAACAGACAGGGGATAGTGCCATAACCTTACTCGAGAATGAGTCACTCCAAACGCCTTACGCGAAATTTGATAAACGCTACTACTATAGAAACTGGATTTCAGTATCCTGTCGACCCAAGATAGTTACACACGAATAAGCGTTGTTCTTGCTATCTTTTTTATTTTTCTCGCCTATGATGTGAACAACAACCACTCCCCTGTCGCTTTGTGTGCGTACATTCTCATTTCAAACTCCCTTTATACGGCAGTGCAGTTGAGTCTGTAAGCGCCCGAACTGACGACTCCATTATCCCTTCGCTGTCTGTTTTTATCATGCTAGACACCCTACGGGACATGTCAAGTACCTGCTTTTTTACCCGTTATAAATCATTGTTCATTCTTCATTGTCTGCTCTTATCCCCAGCGTCGCTTTTTCGTAGCGCCCAATTATAGTCCCAGACTCGCTGCGACTATTTGTATGCTTCGTGTACCGGTTATGCCCCTATTCGCAAATATTTTATCTGAGCCATGGTGGAAGGGACATCAGGAAACCAGCCTAAAATGACGTCGGGTCTGTGGACTTGCTTGTTCCACAGCATGAATCAGAGTGCTGAGTTAATAATTATTTTCGGTAAATCTCGTCAGACTCACAAATTTACACATTGGGGGTTGTTATTGTTCGTTTACGGAGCTCCACAGTTTAAGTGAGAAGGTTCGATCGCACGATGCTGGGTTATTCCACGTCCTCTGTACAGCTGGGTCAAGCTGAAGAGCACGTTTCATTTTGCTACATGCTGAGCACCGCATTATCTAAAATGCAGCATGCAGGCGTCGCTATTTTTGGATGCAGCGCAACAACATATATTAACTCTGCCGTTGACAAATGCCTGCTGCACCGACTCGCCTCTGATATGTATACTGTTTGTCCCAGAAGGATCGGTTTTCCACCATGATTGCATGGTCCTGTTATCGTGAAATAACCCTGAAAGATTGAATCAAGCGAAATTCCCCATGGTTTCTATCATACTTAGGCGTGTTCAGATGCTTCAATGCAAGTCTGTTTTAGTGCCATGCTCGTCTCTTGCTCTAAATGTAGTATGCATTCGGTCGAGGGTTCCAAGGGTTTCCGTTTCCAGAACGTACGGGGCTGTAACAGACCACGGGAGGGAATGCAAAGCAGATACTTGGTAAGCGGCTGGGTAGCTTCAGCACAACCATCTACAGCCGAATAGGGGGCGCAGCAGACTTACACCTCCTGGCGAGCTGGGCGACGTTGCCACAGCTGGTGATGGAGGATCCAGTCTAAGGTGACTGGAAGGATGACGTGAAAACACACGGGAGATGGTTGTTTTAACGACACCGAAGACGAACTGGGAAGGCAAAGAGAAGATGAAACGCCAATGGACCTCTAGGCTAGACTCGACGATATCTTATCTGTTGGCTTGCTACAAAGACATGTTCGGACGTGCTACACCAACACCTGATCAATCAGCAAAATGGCATCAGCAGCACGCTGATACCTAGTCGCTGACACCTAACCACGACCAGTAGCACGTGAGCTAAGGATACTGCGAGAGTCGCCCAGTCCCATGCACAGGCTCCAACCCATGACCTCTGGGCTACAATGCAGGTGTGTGATCCTTTGGTACGGGCCGAAAAGTGTGTACCCGTTGGCTAGTCGATCTCTCCAGTAAGTGTGTCTGCTGTACGCCGTAACGGCGCTTCGCTGCCGTGCGACCACCACCAGTCGCACGCGGACTCTATACCGCGAGGACGCCCAGCCGTACGCGGATACGAACCCGCGCTGCAAGATTACGAGACAAGCTCGTTACCTCTAGGATCTATAGATAAGATCAACCAAGACCTGTGCTCTCACAAGACAGAAGCACGTAACCGTTGAGCTACATATAGCTAGACACTGAAAGGCGGGTATAGACAGATATCTTTATGACTACGTTGGCGATGAAGTTTGCAGCAGTGGTAAATCGTCCAAGCTCAAAAAGTAAACTAAAAGTTGTCAAGTACCACATCTGGATTACAATGCCGTAGCATATAAGGTGAACACGAGAACAAGAGTGTGTTTGGGATCCCTAACAGGAACCCCGCTGTTGGCTTGCCCTCCGAAAGTAACATCAATCAACACATTTACTCTTCCAAGTGTTTTGGTTATTCACGGACCAATCGATTTGTCCATATTTCGAGCATCAACATAGAACTAACATGAGTAATTAACTAGTGGGATCTACAAAGAAATGCAGGAGCCCACCTCTGGATAAACGGAAGGACACTCTCTGATTGCTTTGATAACTGCTTGGGCGATCGGCTTGGGTGGCAGTGTGTCTGACTCCAGAGCTCGTTCCAAAGCATCCACGGAACACGTTGAAAGGTCAATGCGGCTCAGCACCTTCTCCATTTGTTGCTCATTGAGAGATCGACCTGCAATGTGCATCAGACGATCTGCATCATATATACAATGAGATGGGTCCATTGATAGTTCACGGTGATTGTGGAGTACCGCCGTCACACTAAACAACAGCACGTGAATACTTGGTACAGAAGCCTCGCTGCAATTTGTACACGATGACCCTATGATTGAAGAATAGGATGGTGGACAACCATTGATTGGTTTTGTTCAGGCATCTTGTTCCTAAGTTCAAAGAAAGATGCCTGATCAACGCCAATCAATGGTAGTCTACCGTTTCACCTGCTTCTGTGGGGCTAGGTACATCGGGCGCACGACCAGGCACTTGGAAAAGCGAATCAAGAAACATGTACCAACGTCGCTCGTCACCCAACGGGACAAAACTAAGTTGAGTGCCATAACCAACCATCTGATCTGCACCAATCCTCTAATTGATAAGCGCAAGCCTTTTGAGATCCTATATCGAGTTCCATCACCGCTACACCATCAGTCAGGGGCTCGGCTACTCGCTACCGCTGAAGCAGTATGCATCAGATTGACAAAACCAAATCTAGGCATTCAGAAGCAGCATGTACAGGCATTACAACTACCCTGGCCATCTAGTAATAATGATGGATCGGACCTCACTCAGTGGTATCACATGCCTTCAGTCAATTGACCACATGACACGTTACGTTAAGCATTTAAAAAGTTTTGTTCAATCAATAGTTACTCTCTGTTTTTCCGTATGAACTCCTCTTTTCAACGTATATTTTGTACGAAGCCTGATGATGAATAAATCGAAAACAATTGTTCGGTTTAAGCGTACCACTTGCGTTTCTTCTTACAATATATAATAAAAATGGACATACTACACGATATTAAACGTTGCAAATTCCCCCAAACGCTCAAAGAACTGAATAAGTATATTAAGTTCAGCGTTAGGTTTGCGGAAACGGAAGCCTTTATCGAATTTCGTCGTCACTGCGTTGAAACGAGCAACTACCCCAAAGTATTCTCGAACGCATTACGAAGGCAGCACATACGACCTAGAAGAAGCGGCTTGAAGCGTCATACGCTAAACATTATAGAATCAGCAAAATCGACGCTATCTGAGACTGAACGGCATATAGCACAGACGCAACATGCCATAGACCATCTCGACCATGATGAACGAGTCCAGTTTGTCGAGTATGTGCGTAACGTGACCTCCAAGCGTACATTCAAAAAGAGATTAGTTCTGCAGAAAACACGGACCATGAAAGAATGTCCGAACACATTTCCATCAAATCCGGAAAGATATGTACACAACCTGTCCAGTATACGACTAGACACGTTACAAATGCAGGCGCTTTCATTGGGCATCAGGTTTTGTCATCCACTAAGTAATGATCACCGACTAGAAATCGAAACTCAATTTGAATACCTTAATAGCCAGACAAGTGATTTAGCAGCCACTTCCAACGGCAACCTCGAACAATTTAAGTCGGACTTGGTCAACATTTCCTTTCAGTATCAACGATACCCCATGACACATTCCCGGTTACTAACAAAGGCACACATCGAAGCTATAAGAGAACTTCAGCAAAACGAGAGAATCATAATCACCAAACCAGATAAAGTATCAGGAGCCGTGATCATGGACCGCACAGAATACGTACAAAAAATATAACTTATTTTCTCCAACTCCAAATTTATACGATGTGCACGAGAGAAGGACAAAACAGATTATACAGAAGCACAACTGACAACGTGTTTGAAATCAATGGCGGCTGATGGCCACATAACTAAGGAAATATATGAAAGGATAAGACCCACCGGCTCCATAATTCCTAGACTTCACGGTCTCCCAAAAATACACAAGCCGGGTGCACCACTGCGACCGATATTGGATATGAGGAACACACCATATCACATCATCGCAAAATGGTTAACATCTGTTTTGGATCCTATTAGGAAAATGATAGCCCCTCATCAACTTACGGACACTTTTCAATTTGTGGAGAACGTTAAAACTATGAATATCTTAGGCTATCGAATGTTTTCTTTGGACGTCGTATTTCTGTTCACAAATGTCCCACTTATAGAAACAATTAACTTTCTTTGTACTTACATTGAGCAGCACAAGATAATCGAAACACCAACTGTCCACTTAAAGCAGCTATTACTCAGCTGCACTTATAACATCCAATTCCAATTCAACAATGAATTGTACAGACAAGTAGATGGGGTAGCGATGGGATCACCTCTCGGACCACTATTGGCTGATATATATATATATATATATATATATATATATATATATATGGGAATGTGAGATGGCCCATGAAAAATAGGTCATCTCGGGCCTACGTATCTACCGACGTTATGTTGACGACATATCCTGTATAACTGAGCAGACGAACAACTTGCAAAATGTCGTCGAGTGTTGTAACAAGGCACATCTCAACGTCACATTCACAGTTGAAGAAGTAATTGATAACCAAATGCACTTCTTGGATGCAAACCTAAAGCGATGAGAAGACGGATCAATTCAGACAGGAGTATATAGAAAGCCTTATTGGACAGGCCATTACACACACTTCCGAAGTTTTGTGCCAATAAGCCGACAAAGGACACTGCTACAGACGCTGGCCAATCGTGCACGGAAGATCTGTAATGAGGACACAAGTGAAGAAAAAATGAAGCGAATCAGACAAACACTTCTCGAAAACGGTTATCCAGAACCATTCATTGACGTTCATATAAAGTCTAGTAGCCCAAGACCAACAGTACAAACGGTGGAGAAGAAACAGCTATTTCTCCAACTTCCCTTTAAAGGTGACATACCGGCAGAGATATGCACACAAGGACTGATACAGACTTGCGGAAAGACTTTTAATGCCACTCAACTAAGTGTCGTTTTTACAAGCAGTTCGCTCTTTGTTCCCAGGTTCAAAGACAAGATGCCTGATCAACGCCAATCAATGGTAGTCTACCGTTTCACCTGCTTGTTCGGGGCTAGGTACATTGGGTGCACGACCAGGCACTTGGAAAAGCGAATCAAGGAACATTTACCAACGTCGCTCGGCACCCAACGGGACAAAACTAAGTTGAGTGCCATAACCAACCATCTGATCTGCACCAATCCTCTAATTGATAAGCGCAAGCCTTTTGAGATCCTATATCGAGTTCCATCACCGCTACACCATCAGTCAGGGGCTCGGCTACTCGCTACCGCTGAAGCAGTATGCATCAGATTGACAAAACCAAATCTAGGCATTCAGAAGCAGCATGTACAGGCATTACAACTACCCTGGCCATCTAGTAATAATGATGGATCGGACCTCACTCAATGGTATCACATGCCTTCAGTCACTTGACCACATGACACGTTACGTTAAGCATTTAAAAAGTTCTGTTCAATCAATAGTTACTCTCTGTTTTCCCGGATAAACTCATTTTCTCTTATTCTTCTTCTTTTCGTAAGTCGTTATGGTTGTATGGTAGCGAAGCATCAGTCCAAATGTTTGATGTACTGCTGTTGCTGACGATGATGATGAATGCCTAAGGCATATACACTCGGTTGACAACACCCAGTCATGGAAAACTGGCTGTCGTGCAAATATCAGGTGATATCGGTGTGGTATATTCCTTTGAGGCTTTCATCACTCCGTGCCAGTAACTAATTCAGCTAGAAGAGGAAGAATTATCAGGAACACTTGAAACAGACAATTTGACTATCAGACGATGACAAAAGTGCCACTGCTAACGGCCGTGGCTACCGTGGCTGCCATCACAAAAATATAACGTATCAAACGTAAGATTATACAAGCATCAATCTTTCTTCAAGTACCAACCGTAGTTGGAACGTAACTGGACAACTCATGTGAGACCATTCACACTTGATCGTTTAGTACAATTGTATACCCTTACTCAGGTAATTGAAACAATAAGTTCCCGAGGAAACTTTTAGCAGAAGAGTTAACACAAGAGGGACGCGCGATTTAATTCCGGAATAATTGCTCTGCATATTTTCAACTGCGTACTACAGACGTGTGAGTTTATAGTATCAAGGAGCGCAGTTAACATGGCAAACTGACCAAACTATACACACCTACATTCATGTCACTTTGTCATCTGTGTCCGGCCTGCTACCACGGCAAGGCCAGGGTCACAAATGCGTCTTTCTGCACACACAGAGTTGGGCCGAATTGTTTGATAACCACGGCCTCAGCATATCGTAAAGTTAGGGGGTTCACTGATGCATAGATAACACGGACCGCCCGCACGGGGTCTACACAGTGATTGTCAGCCAGCAGATGGCGGACGATTGATGAAGCTGGTTGTTGGTATGGAACTTCATTTCGCTTCCTTGGCTGCGCATTCAAGGTGGTGGACGTGGCCATCTGCGAAACGTGTTTACTCACCCACGTCGGTATGTACTCCGCGACCCTCACTCTCAAGTGTCATTCAGTCATGCCCACATTTTCGCCCTTGCAAATACATGTAAATTGGTAAAGGATATGTGAACGGCTGGACAGTGACAGCGGGGGTCTAACCAATAGAGTAGGGATACGATTCGTTGTGTAGATGAGTACTGGTTCCGCCGCAGGGTATACGCGCGCCACTGCGGATTTCAATCGGCGTTGAAAAACCTGGCATACGTCGTCGCTCTTGAATGGCAATTGCAGGGTTACCTTCATCTTTGGTACCGTGGGCACACATGTTTTCTCTTTCTCAGCACTAAACTGAGTGATGAAAGACGATGGGTACCCAATGTCTACGATGGTGCTGGTTATCAGCCGCACATCTTGTTCCAGCGTGTCAGCAGTGCATATTTTTCTAGCTCTGTTAAATAAAGTCTTCACTAGACCTTGTTTGTACCTCTTGGGGACAAAACTGTAGAAGTTCAAGTACTGTCCCTTCCACGTTGGCTTGCGGTAAACTGATCTGCGTACTGAACCGTCACTTCTACGCTTGAGCAGAATGTCCAAGAACGGCAGCGTATCATGCTGTTCGCGCTCCGTTGTCACTGTTTCGGTGTAAGCCACTC